AATAAAGGTGCCTCCAGCGTGGCTGCGGGTCTTATTATTTTTAATGACGAGAAGTTGTGGAAATTTTTATTTATTTTTATATTTTAATTAAATTTTCCCAATACGCTAAGTTACCATTTTTTAAGCCTCCCTTTAATATCATGCCTGGTGTTAAGGTAAAGCACGATGAACCAAAAAATAATTATGGTCCTGACCTTCATAAATTGTAATAACTCTTATTAGTGCCAGATCTGTATATAGGCCATGAGACTTTTCCTCATAGTCAGAACTTTGGAGTGTTAATAGTTTACAGTATGCAAACACCAGCTAGTGTTAACTTGACAAGCTTCAGTTAATGTTGCTCTTTCTTCCTGTTGTTTGTTATACAATAGTAAACAGAGCAGAAAAGTAAATAGATGGAAGGGAATTGATCATTCTCTCCTTTTGACTACAGCTGTAAATGCTTATGGGGGGCATTGATAGGGTTTATATACATTTTAGGTCCTAACAATGTTATTTGATGCACTTTTGAACCGATAAATATACCACTGCAAACATTTTTTCACATCTGTTCGATAAGTGAAAAAAAAAAAGCAGCTGACCTTGTGAGAAATTAAGAGCTGTCCTGTGCCCAGTGCTTACTTCTGGCATTATCTAATGGAGAGTAAATAACCCTCCTAGTTATCTTGGGACTACAGAATGATTAGCCCTTATGTTGTGGTGATGGGAGAGTAGGTGGATCTGAATAGTTTGGCAAGAGAAAGGTGCATTTTCTGGCAGATCATTAGGGATTGTTCTGTACTTGCAGGGTCTTTAAAGGGATAACACATTGGGAAATGTGCATGTATTGCAGGGATGTACTGCAGATGTTTTGTTTTGTTTTTCTTTATTTTGCCTTGACATACACTTTAATCAGAACATTCCATATCCTTAAACAATGCAGAAGAGGTGACCTACATAAATCTGTTGCAAATATTAAGATGAATTAACTATCAACCTCATTGTGTTAATCTTCCTCTACTGCCCAGAAGTAGCACTGAACCAATTTAAAATGTGCCTCTAAAGCTGCCAACAGATTCTGAATATAAAATTCATTAAATCTGTTGGGAGAAATAAAAGAGCTGCTACTCCTTATTTCTGAAAATGCAGGTTGACTGGCTCGATCCCCTGGATTCAGTACTTTCAGAATTCCTGACCCTGAATAATTATGCAGCTCATGAGGTCTGACTTCACTTGCTGCTTGCTTGTTCCAGGCTAGTGACTCAAAGTACTGAACCAAATGAAGAGCATTGCAGCCAAGCAAAGGAGCTTTAAAGTCATCATGGTGAGTTAAAATTCCCAAACAAGTATACAGACAGTGACGTCAAGTTGGAGGTATAATTGTTCAAGTTCAGTGATACAAAAAAAAACAACACATTTTCCCATAGCTCTCCCCACATTTCTACTGCAACAGGCTTCACTGTGTGTATTCCTTAACAGAATGTGAAAGGCCACATCCACGGCATAATGTGATCAGGTGAGACCCCTCGGTAATTCAAGGGAATGGGTCGGATATGGCCAAAAATGTCTGATGCAATCCGGGGTATGATTCTCTTTATCTGATTGTACTTGTCTCTTGCTTATTGTGGTGTGTGGGAATATTTGGGACACAGTACTATCAGAGTGCGGATTAAAAATATCTCCATTACAACAACTAAGGGGGTTATTCATGAAGGAGCTGAATGATCCAGCCATAGCTCCAGCTGATCCTTCGGCTCTCTTTTGCTGTATGGGCTATTCACTATAGCCCGTACAGCAGCCGAAGGCAGCTGAGCGGCTCAGCCGAGCCGAAGGCATATGCTTCAACTCGACTGAGCTGACAGCCAAAGCGGGGTGAACGGCCTGCCGAAGCCCGGCCGTTCGCCCCCGCATATGACAGCTGGGCGGAGCCAGCTCCGTCCCAGTTGTAATGACAGATCAGTGTCCCCAAATGACCTGGGGACTGGGTGGAACCGTGACGTCACGGCCGGCTCCGCCAAGTTGTTATTTATTGGCCGGGACCTGCTAGAAGACTTTAGCAGGTTCCGGCCAATGGGAAACAGTTGGGTGGAGCTAGCTGTCACTGCTAGCTTTGCCCAATTGTTTTTTGTTTTTTTTTACTTTTTTTTTTTATAATTTTTTTAATTTCACTATTTATTTATATTTTTTAAATATTTTTTTAACCTTTTTTTTTTCTATTTTCACTTTTTCATATTCTGCTTGGTACCACTGAGGTACCGAGCAGAATGCCACTCGGCTATTCACTCACTGCCGTTCGGCCCCTATGTGAGCTTTGGCTGATCCAGATGTTGGACCGAAGGCAGCCATACTGAGCCGGATTGAATAGCGGAACGTTGTTCGGCTCTGTTCACTTCGGCTGAGTTATTCACTCGGCTGCCTTTGGCAGCTTAGTGGATAACCCCGTAAATTCTAAGGTTTGTGGAATAATCAATGATGATTTACAACCAGAGATGTTTTGTTCAAAGACTGATCAAAATATAAAAATCCGATCAAAATTTCAAAATGAAAACATTAAACACAATAAATGAAAAATCTAATCACAGTGAATATTCTGCACTGTTTCATATGAAGTAGAAATTGTATTTTTATTATCACATTTGGAAGAAATAATAGCTTACCTCTGGAGTGCCGCAGAAGGTGAGAGTTTTGTCAGAATTTGAAATTCCTTCTTTGCAAAGCCCAAAATCAGTTAAAACAATATGACCCTAAAGCAAAAGATTGACATTTGGTAAGGCCATAACATACATATATATTCTGTTTGGTAAACAATTTGTTTTTAAAATAAAAGCTATTATATTAGTTTATTATTTATCGATGGCAAGTCTTCTCAGAAAATATTTTCTGGTGCTCATAGTGAGGCATTTAACACTCAGAGGTGGTACATTTACTCTCAGGAGTTAGGTTTGGGGTTGTCTTAAGCTTAGTGTTAGATATGGATTTTTAGTGTTTTCGTGGGTGGTTTAGGCCAAGTATTAATATGAAAGAATTAAGGTCGGAAGAGCCAGGCCGAAAGTTGTCGGTATTTTGACAGCTGCGGGTACTGCCGATCAGAATACAATAGTCCTGCAGGGGAGATTCCCCCCATCCACTCATTCAATTTCACTTTTAAATTGAGCTTGAGCTACTGAGATCTGTAAACAAATTTTTTCAAGAAAAGCACCTAAGGTGAGCCTAGTAAACATAAGAACGGAGCTCCTAGCTCCACCGGCTGGCTGGAAATGTAAATACAAAAAAATCATGCAACATTTCATATTTATCTGACTAAAAATGAAAACATATAGTTGTGAACAGAATAAATTAATCATATACAAAGCACTATAAATTCCCTTTAAAAGAAAGCAAATGTCATTTTGTAGCTCTTAAATCTAGTCCAATCTCATAATTTAAGAGACTTTTAATTAGTACAGAAAAAAACGCTCAAACGACAAGGAAAAGAGTTATTACCTCAGAGTCTAGAAGAATATTTTCTGGCTTGAGGTCCCTGTCAAGGAAATGTAAAGTAAATCTATAAATCCAGCATTTCATCATCTTCTTGGTGCAATTACTAGAATTGACTTGTTTATACCTGTATATGATCTGAATGGAGTGTAGGTAACCCAACGCACTGGCAATTTCAGCAGCATAAAAACGGGCTCTTGGTTCAGCAAAATATCGTTCTCTTTGTAGGTGAAAGAAAAGCTGTAAGCAAAGTATATATATTGTTTAGCCAGAATATAAACCCATGTAGCAGTAGGAGGTCATGTAAAAACATGTAACAAATTGTAGTGACCCATAGTCATCAGATTTCTGAACATTACTGTGAATTGTACTAAATGTCATTGGACATTCCTACTTGTTCTTCACTTTAAAGTGGAACTTCAGCCAGAACGTTGTTTTCTAGATTTCAGTAAGTGGGAGAAGGGTTAGTACCTCTGTCGGGCTTTTACTGTCGCCACTTGGAAGATTCACCCTCATTCCCTTTCTTCAATACTGTAATCACTGTAACAGTGAGGGGAAATCTATCATTTTACAGTTGTTAGTGGCACAGTAGGTGAGGCCAAATCTCCCAAAAGCAGGAAGTAGGGGGACATCTCCCCAGAAAGAGATACAGACAGCAATTAAAGAAATAGCTAACACTCCTAACACACTCTGTAAACACTAATCTAACAGTTTTCCCATCCTAGGGCATACCCAGCAATAAAATGGAGACACTGCAACTTCAAGGATGAATTTGTTACCCTCAAGCATATCTGCCTTAAATCTATTTATTGCTGCATTGCAAATACGTGCATCTAACACCTCTGTTTTTAATACACTGAGGGGGGGAATTTATCAAATTGGTTGCATCATCAGCGTCTTTTTTAAACTGTCACATCCCTGATTTCTGCTGCATACAGCGACGGCTTTATTATCCAAGTTTATGTTTTATTTATAAATGCCTTTGTAAAGGAGAATTGTCCTGGTCTCTAAACTGTCGAAAGCTTGCTGGGAACCTCCTGGATGACAGCTGAATACCTCTGAAGTGCTCGGCTGACTCGAGGGAATGAAGCTGAATTATCTTCGCAATACTTTAAGAATATTTAGGAGGACTTCTAGGATGTGCAACAATTAGGAAGGTTTTTAATGTCACAAATGCTGGACGCAGATACTGTGCAATTGAGAAATGATGCAAAATGTTGCAAAACACATGCAGTGAGTTACAAACAGAAATATGTCACAAGAACACTTTGAAAAAGGCCCATAACAGAGATAAAACTTTGTAGTTAGTTAGCATCACATTTTGGCCTTTGTGACAGAAAATTGGCAAACACTTTCATAAATTCCCCCCATTAAATGATTATGTGAAGGAATACATAGCTTTATTAACTGTTGTACATTATCTGCCTGGAGTTCAGCTTTCAAAAAAAATAAAATACTGGGACATTCTGAAAAAAATGTAAGTTAAAAAAGTTTGCCTTTTGCAATAGCTAAAATCATACAAATACAAACATATCCTCATTCAGGTATTTCCTGGTTTTGCAATGGGGTTTTACCACGTTCAAAATTCATTGAGGAAGTGAAAATATATGTGTCATTATCTTCCTCTTCCTAATGTTTACAGCTCACACTCTATTGCCTATTCTTTAAAGCCACAAAATGCAGTGACACATAGGAACCAAGCAGATTAGCTCGGATTTTGAAATGGTTATGCGATACTGCTGTGTAGTATCTTTTTACACTTCTTTATGAAATGTCTGTATATATCTAAATAATGTAACAGTTTCAGCTACCCATGTAAATCCACAATATAAGGTTTCCAAGTTGTAATTTACTCATTTACAATATGTGCCAGTGGTCTCCAACCTCATGAATGATCTGTTCTCTCTGATGTGCTCCAAATAGCCTCACGGCAAGTACTCAGATCCTTACATTCTGAACACTTCCTACATTAGATAAAAACATAATTATTAAATTATGTTTCTTATTTTATGGGGATCATTCTCACTTATTATAAATTAGTTCATCTTATGAGATGACAAAGAATGGAGATCTTTGGTATGTACTATAATGCAACTCTTTAGTGGAAGCAATTATTCTTGCATGTCCAAGATTTAAATGTAAGGCAGAAAAAAACATTTAAAAGGACTGGTCTTCTTACATATAAAAAGATATATTTTAATTTCAGGCACCAACAGAAAATATCATAAACCCTGACAGAATATTAGGACTTTCACTTTGCCTTAATAATCTCACCTATATTTTACGTTATGGGCCATTTTAGGCTGGTGAGAGGATGGATTTAGTGGCAAATACACATATTATTAAACATAACGTGAACTTGACCTGGCCTAAAACAGGAGTGTACAAACTGACCCTAGGATCCATGAGTCTGCACACGGACAGAGGGATTGAGTTGAAAACTAACACAAGTACTCTCGGGCATCACAAGGTGCCTAACCTTCAGGACTGTGGCTACTTTAAAACCTTTTCTGCCAGGTTAGGATTACTTTAAATGTCATCAATATGTATCTTCTCCAAAATCACAACTTAATCTTGAATACATTAACATTAAGTATATGTTTGTGTACATGTTGTTAAAGCTGAGCTTTTCTTTAATTGTGAATTAAATGAAGCCATATTACAAAGGAAATTGTTTCATTTCATACGCATTGTAGGGTCACTGACCCTTTAAGTACATTACGTTGTCCTACCTCTCCTCCATTGATAAAATCCAAGACAAAAAACAGCTTGTCTGATGTCTGGAACGAGTAATGAAGATGAACCAAGAATGGGTGCTTTACATTTTTCAGAAGAACATTTCTCTCTGCCATGATGTGTTTTTGCTGAAAGAACATATAAAAAATGTTGACATAATAATTGTTCCTGTTACAAGCAATCTGTAAGTAAACCTATCACAAGCCCGGGCCAAAAAGGCAGCTTACAGAAATCTTTACTTTCCTGTAAAAACTCAGCCTGGCTATGCCCACCAATCCATGAGACCCGCTACTGGTCCTTTATTGTGATGGGTCGCCTCATTGACAGGTATGGAGTCTTGGGTAATTCAAGGTGGGAGGGTAGTCCTTCGGGAATACTGATCTTTTAGAAAAAGTCTAATGTGGTCACTGAAAATTTAGGTGAAGGGTACCAAAAAAGCAATATCATACAAAGTGTCCTAATTAAACGGCAGACCTAATTACAAATGCACACGTACACAATTTTCCAAATCTCATCTATATTTACTACTTTTAATAAGGAGTTTTGTCAGCTGTGTACACTCAGTGATGATCTAATATATACATATATATAGCTATCCAACTATGACAGATGTCCCTGGCCCTGTTCACATAGTGGATCTGGTTTCCATAGTTCAGTCAGTTATCACACACAAACTTTAGCAGATATATTACAAACATAAATAGATCTACCTCTTTCTTGTTGAGAATAACTTTCTTCTGTAACACCTTCACTGCATAATAGCGGCCATCATGTTTCCCTCTTGTAAGAACAACCTACAGTATTAATAGAGATGAAAGATTAGAACCCAATTTAATTCTGCTAAGACCAACAGCTAATTTGTGATTTGCCAACATAAGCAAAACCACAGCCTGACCACACAGGTTATAGTGGGACCTGCAGCTCTGCGACAAGTGGACACTGACATGTTTAATAGCATTTCTCACCTTTCCAAAGCTCCCTTTACCAATCAGTTTGAGGTATTCAAAGTCTGAGGGTTTTCCACTGAAATTGACAAATTCAAAATCAATTGAAACAATATTGATGCATATTTGAGCTTCCTGAAATACATATGTAACATTTAATAAATATATTTTCTGTTTGAACAACCACATGTTATCAACACCAAAGCATATATTTTGAAATATTATTGCAGTGTTTACTTTAAGTAATGTTCTTAAATAGATCTTTGACTTTCATAATTTTACACACAGGCAGGCTTTGTACAAATATGACTGAAAGTTGCGTCACAATGGACATTAAAATGCATGCCAACATGCATGAAAACACATGTAAACCAGCATGCATTCTCAGTGCATTTCAGTGAGATTTTAATTGCAATATGGAGTGATGGCCCTATGAGAATATTTTTAAGGCCGTTTGGTGATTTAGGTTAGGTGTTTGGTGATGTTCCTTTATAAAAGTTGATCACTACTGGTATAGAATGTATAAATGAGTCACTGCAGGAACGGTAAATTAACTTCTACAATAAATCTGCCTAGCTGCTTAAAATTTATATAAGCCACACAAGGAGTGCAAAGTTTTCAACAAGTTGGCCAAATCATAGAGCTACATTATAGAAGCTGTAAGGCACAACCATTGTGTAGCAAAGTATAGCAGGAAGCAGAGCCTGTAAATGTAATGAGCAAATACCGCTGCCATCATGTACACCCACACAGATTTTATTTTGCTGTTATATTGCCCTGCCACTGGCCTATTTATTCAACAACAATTAGAACATCTTTGGAAGATGAACATTTTGCAACAAACAAAAAACTGAATGCATTATTTTCTGTAATCTCTAAATAAATGCTAAACAAAAACCAATAGAAACTTACTGAGGATTTCCAGAGGGCCCAAGATTGACATTTTGTGAGGGTGATCCATTCTGTTAAAGAAAACAAGAACTCTATATTATACTTTATAGTTTCTGAGCAGCTCCTGAGGTGGAGTCCAGGCAACAAGTGAAACCAGCAAGTGAACTGATAACAAATGTAAATACATTGAAACATTGGGATGAAGTCAGAAAATCAACTTCATTTACATTCAAGGTTGTAGTTTGATCCTAAAGATGGCAAAGAGGAGACTGTTCCCTGTATAGTCACGGTCCATGCAAGGCAAATCTCCAAGTCCCCGTTCACATATGGACGTCTAATGAATGCGCTTAAAACACGGAATGCACTTACAGCGCCATTACTAGTTAATGGTACCCAAAATGTGGCCAAGCGGACAAGTTTCTTTGGAACGCATGAAAAGCGAAGAAATCACTGGCACCCCAAAGTCCAAGAATGTAAAATCTTCTTTATTGACATTGTTTAAGGGGTCTCACAATGTGTGACATTCTTGAACTTTGGAGTGCCACTGATTTCTTCACTTTTCATGGATTTATTTGCGGCACCATCTGCATTCACTGCAGCACCCAGCCGTAACCAGTTGGGACATTATTCCAGTTAGGAGTGCGATAGGATATGAAGAGAACTCATATTTTTGGAACGCATGTCGCAAAATTTGTGACATGTTCTACTTTCCGCATTTGGCCCGTGTCCAGGGACCCACTGAAATCAATGGGGACATGCACCAAACGCAGGAAACAAATGCCAGCAAACACAAGTCACAAGTTCCTGCTATACTCGAGTATCGGTCAGTGTCTCTCACCTCTCCCCCCGAACCCCCCCAGCGTCGGTCACACAAGTACTGGCCGTACCCCCCTGGTGGCCCTGGCCGGGGATTCGGATTGCGAACCCCCATTCATTTGTGAGACCCCATTTGGGATCGCGACCCACACTTCAAAAAGCAATCAAATGTTTTTATTTTCAAAAGGGGACAAATGGGATGTGCCTGGAATACAGCTCAACTCTTCATGTCCCCTACACCTAATGAATATTATCCATAAAACCTTGACCCGTGACTAAGTAAAGATCAAGACCCGTCCCTTTTGATGCTATGCCTAACCTCTGTCACTCGACTGTGAAAGGCTGGAACTAGTTGGAAGTAGAGGCTCTGACATTTGAATGACAGTGGACAAGGTGGAACAGCAAGAACAGTAGAGCTTTAAGTGTGTTTTTTTGGAAGAACTTGCATGCAGCCCTATTTATGAACAAAACATGTACAGACAGTACATACTTTCCAAATCTGCTCTTATGCAGAAATGAAACTCCTAAAGCTCAGGGTCAGCGGTTACAACTTACTTCCCATAATCTCTCAGGAACAGAAAAGAAAGAAAAAACTGTTCCATATGAGCAATAAAACAGATACGTTTGGCTATGTTAGTACATCCAAAATCACACACAAAAAGGATGAACAGTTTGATTCTGATTTGGCGACACTGCATCGTTAGGAAACATGTTTTCTAATAAATGCAATGTGTATTCATCAATTACAAGGAAAACCAAACATCCAGAACAAAAAGGGGAAACTAAGTGTATGAAAAGACCAAATATGTGTGCAGGTAGTTAAACATGTATACAATCATGTGGGAGTCTTGTTTACCTTCTGATCTGCCCTTTCATCTTCGTCCTCAGAAGGATCAGATTGGTGTCTGGTGCAGTCCAGTTTTAGGAATGCCTGGACGTCGGGGCTGTAATAGACAACAGCACATTGAGGCTTTAGAGTTTCAAGTTAAGTTCACACGTCTGTGCAATAAAGCTGCATGCAATTTCAGTGCAGTTATCAGATGTCTGCAATGGTTCATATTAACATTATACAAATGAACCAGGCCTGCATTTTTGCAGTCAAATTATAGCATATATAATTCTTATATGCTGCATGTCAGTGGTGGTGTGAAGTATAACCAGCGTCTACCAGTTTACCTGTGGTGAACGTATATGAAAAACTGCAGTAAACCACACAAGGGTGAATGGGCCCTGAGAAGGCCATACATTGCGTGATGCCAAGATTCTCATATGGCCTCCGGCCACCCAGAAAGCAGCTATTGAGTAAATGTAGGACAATATCTCACAGGACTGCTAATTTGCCACTGAGGGACACTTAGCAACAGTGGTATAAATGTAAAAAGTATAAGAGTTACTACAATGTTTCAGTCTACACTGAGATCTTGCTTCCATTGTAACAAATGCACCTGCAATGGTCATATTAGATAATTAAAAAAGGAAAAAGCTCAAGTTTAGTAGGCATTAAAAAAACAAAAAACATTCCAGAAGCCAGAGAATGAATGAATAAATGGATGACGGAGATTGCACAACATTTTTTTTTCCATTCATGAGCGTACAGTATGGATGTCCATGGTTGTGGGTAGTGGAAATCGCAGCATGTGATGTAACTTTATCTCACATGACATGAGATGTAGGAAGTGACCTTCTTTGTAGGACAGACAGAGATATTTTGCCATGGTGACAGACTGAAAGTAAACACAGCCCCAAACTGCTATACTAGCCTGCTAATGATTTAGACTCCCCACGGGATTACTGAAAGTTGCATTGGGAGAGCTTCCGCAAAAGAAAACTTTACTAAGAGAAATTTGGCATTTCTGGGGAAAGAATGCAAATCTGTAGAAATGTATTTAGTCGTTTTAAATTAATTCAATACAGCCGTCTAATGCCAGATATGAATCCTAACTGGATTATAATGGACACACAGCTTTTGCCTGCAATGGAGGTACTTTGTAAAAATTTGGGGGGGGCATCTTACTGTCTATACGGGAACCAGTTACAATTCCATTTATACAAGAATCTGTACAGTCCTAAAATGTAACTATGCAGGCTTAGCTAATAAATATTATATTTGCCCTTTTTTTTTTTTTAGCTTTTCCGTTGTGTATGACTCTAGGCCCCTTAAATTCGAGAGATTACTTAAAGTCTTGACACTTTACGTAACCTCGCTGTTCTGCCAACACCCTTACCTCATACTGATAACACCCACTGTCTCCTGAGTGTGCATAACAGTATCACATAACAGATCCCTGAGAAAAGAGGAATGTATACAGCTACAGGGATCTGTCTGATAATTCTATGGTTACTTATAAGAACTGAGCAGTGAGTGCCATCTTCATGAGTTTAGGCAGTTGAGTTTACAGGAACTGCTAGATCTTTCATGACTCTTGACTTTTAAGGTGCCCATACACCTTGCGATTATCGTTCAAAAAACTAACGCGATCAGGTTTTCGTACGATAATCGGCCAGTTGATGGGAAGTAAATGATCATAATAACTCTGCACCTGGGAGAATTTCCTCAGTCAGGCTGGAGAACCGTTTTCGAATCGTACCAAATTCGATGGATTAGTGGCGTTTTCATACGGTGGAAAAAAAAATCGCAACATGAACACTGCACTTGCGCAAACGAAAATCCGTTCTGTCAATTGATATTCAGCTAGTGTTCTACATTGGTCTGTGCTTGATGGGGTATTCAAGTGGAAATCGAACGGGGGTTCGATGACGGGACGAAAGAAAGCGAACGATAATTGTAAATTTAAAACTAATAAAATCCTCCATATGTAACCCTGCACATGATTTATGGCTCAATCTTACTGTTCTTACAAAATCTCAATTGTCACATGTTCTAAGAGCTGAAGCATGGCCATGTCACCCTGTACTACATAAAACCGCAATACTCGATCACAGATCACTTCTGTGTCATTTGATGATCTTATATTCACATTTGTGAATCTCTTGGCGCTCATTTGCCATCCTTTTAGGTAGATTTTACAATTAGATTGCAGCACATGTGGTCATCTTAAACCAACTCTCAGAGTACAGGAAAGTATTTAACACAAATACAGCTTAATACCTAAACTAGAAAATGTTAACATGGATTTAAACGAAACTCCCTCTTATGGATCATTCATTTTTCTTCTTGATACTATCCATTCTAACTTGGTATGGCAGTTCTACAAACATTACATATCTCTGAAAGATAAAGTATTCTTGTTACTCATAACATCTGTACCAGTTCTCCCTAAATTCTCGCACTAAACTATGGAAATGGGGAAATCAGATGGGGTGCCAAGCATCTCAAGAACTTTTCTTTCTGCATGAATGAGGTTCAGAATTCTATGTAGTTTCCTCCACCCCTACTTCTGAATATAGGAAAGGACCTCTGAATTACTAGAAACAGAAGACGCTATGGAAGCAAAGCAAATCAAGGGCTTACATAAAAAAGAAAAGAAAGACCAGCAAAATACAATTACCCATTAAATCATACAGAACTCATCCTTTCGATCTGACCTCAATGAAATTTAAATTGAATTATTGTTACAGGATGTGACACTCTTCACAACATAATTGTTCACTGCACTGACCTCTTAATTAAGTCTATTAGTGTACTGGATAATGTATATACCGTCCAGACACATGAAACACTCAAAACATCAAATACTAAGCGCCATACTCAGGGAGTCCTAGTTACCTTTTAGAACTTTATCATCTCTGAGAAAGTGAACAAGATAGTACACAACGATACTCACTATAAATGGGAGTGCCAATCCATTTGAGATCATATCATACTGCACGGAAGGCAAAACCCAGATCAGAGACTAAAGTGTCTTGCCTGTAACTGAAGATGTTCTGAATGAGACAAAAGCTCCCACTATCCTGAGTTTTACAATCTCCAGTCACACATCCCCCATCCTTCAAGGGAGGGAAAAACACTGATAAAAACACATCATGTTTATTCACCCCACAGGCAGAAGAACTTCCTAAACAGGTTCATTTTCTGCCTTTGTTCATATTACATTAAGCCCTCTTCCTTCTTCTGCTCACAAAATTGCCTGCCACTAGTCAGTTTTACTAAAGACAACTTGGGTGTGCTATTCTAATTGTATAAATATCACATTGTTTTGAACCTGCCATTGATACTGGACACGATTTAGGTATTACTAGGTGAAAACAAGTGAGTAGTAGGAGGCAATAATTTAAATTGACACTAAACGAAAGGCATTAAGTCTTAAAAATGCATTCAAGTGCCCTAACTATTAACAAAAATGTATCTTATTTGTGTATCATTCGGCTGTAGATCCTCAAATCATCTCTGAATTGGTGCTGACACTGTCCTTCCTTCTGGAGGGTGGCTACTTTTCTTCCCCATGGTCCCTGTGTGTGTGTTTTAAAGTAGTCATCGCTCCAAGCTCGCTCCGTTGATAGACTACAATAGCAATACAAATTAGTAATGTAAACGTGTCCTTCCTTCTGGGGGGTGCCTACTTTTGTTCCTCACAGTCCCTGTGTGTTGTAAAGTAGCCACCGCTCCAAGCTCGCTTCCATGATGAACTACAATCTCACGTTATTCATTTTTATCGCGATTGTAGTCCATCATGGGAGTGAGCTTGGAGCGGTGGCTACTTTACAACACACACAGGGACCAGGGGGAACAAAAGCAGGCAACCTCCAGAAGAGTCAGTGTCAGCATAAATTCAAAGATGATTTAAGGATCGACAGCTGAGTGATACGCAAATAAAGGTGCCCATACACCTTACCACTAGGGATGCACCGATACAAGCATCGGTATCGGCGGCGATACCGAGTATTTGCATGAGTACTTGTACTCGTGCAAATACTCCGATACAAAAAACGAGTACCTGTGCCGCGTCCGCCATCTTCAGGGACCCGAAACCGCCGCACACAGGACCTCCATCGCGTCTTCAATGAAACAAGATGGCTGCAAACTCCTCCTCCAAGTCCTCAGGCATCTGCTCCATTCTGACCTCTTCTTCCGCTGATTGGCCGATTGAACGGTAATTGGTATCGGTGAGTAGCTGAAAAAAAGTATCGGTACTCGGTCTTAAAAAAGTGGTATCGGTGCATCCCTACTTACGACCATCGCAAGACTTTTGTCTTGCGATGGTCGTAAGCTTATTGAAAGCTCGTACCATCTGCCCATCTTGGACGGGCAGATCATACTTGTGATCATCGAAAGCCCGCTCCGCTGAGGGACGGGCTTCCCATGACCGCAGTGAGGGGCGGGCTTCCGATCACTGCAAACGGGCAGTGTGCGCACACCGGCCCGTTCGGCAGTTGCCGAACAAGCAGGCCACTAACCTTCTCGGCGGGTTTTCAAGCCTGCTTGTTTGACGGAAGACGTGCAACCGTGTAGTAGAAACGGTCGCACGCCTTAAATACACTGTATGATTATCGTACGATCGCGGGTTTCCCCACAATTTTCGTACAGTGTATGGGCACCTTAAGATACATTTTTGGCAATAGTTAGGGTACTAATGCATTTTTAAGATTGAACTCCTTAGTGTCACTTTAAATTACCAGTATTCAGAAGCCCCAGGGAGAAATATCTAGAGGGAAGAACAAGTGAATCATCACGAAAGATAAATAACATGACCTTCAGTTTGTCATAAGTTATTTTCACTTTCAGTAGATCCCTGTGGGGCTGGAAATAATGACAAGCAGTAAAAACATTTCAAGGGAAAATGGGAATGAACACTTTGTTATTTGGAATTTATGATGGAAATGACGACATGTAAATACCTCTAATTTCAGAAGGTGCTACTGTCTTTTAGAGTATTATAATAGAAGGGTTTGTGGTTACCTCTGGACTTCCTACAATAGGCTATAAGCTCAGGCTGCACTTGTGCCATAAACATCAGTGGTGCTGGATGTGCAGAAGGTCACCAAGATATAAAGGAATGATTTGCCGGGCTTTGTCTGCTGCCCTTAAATGTGGAATAAACTTTTTTTTTATTGGAAATTATGTCATGTCATACCTTCTGTTTCAAGAAAGCAATACTGTATTCCACTGTGACACATGTCAGTGCTTGTCTGATTATCAGAAGGCTGTCAGGATTAAGTTCCCCACACACGAGATTTGGATACTGCTACATCTATTCAACACATGCAGTGAAACAGTAAAAATAACAGGGACCTTTCTCGGCTGCAGTGCGGCTCTGCGCTGTCAGCATATAGTAGGAAGTAGCCCGCTATATGCTGACTTTGGGTCACAGGAGGACATTAGTAAATGTGCTCCTGTGACACAAAAGAACTATAGCCAAAAAAAAGGTTTGGCCATAGTCAGGCCCGTCTTTAATACTGATCGGACCCTGGGCAAACATTTTCTTGGGCCCCCCCCGGCCCAATTTCTCTCACCTCCCCAACAACAAGAAAAAAAAAACAGCACACATAGATCATAGACTTCTCTCAAAAAAACTTGAATAATGTAAACATAAAGAGCTGGTTCAGAAACAAGTCCTTAGCTTGATCTGTAACAGTAGGCACTTGCCAACTGTAACCTCTTAGTCTCACTCCTCATATACTTCTAGAGCTGCAACAGTTAATCGATTTAGTCGATTAAAATAGACGATTGAAAACATTGTCAACGTTTTCGAACGTCGATTCGCCAACGTTTTTGATTGATTAGCCTGTTCGGGGCTCCACACGCGGCCTGAGCCACACGTCTCACGCTGCGCCCGCTGTGACCACCGCACAGGCCGCATAAGCCACGCCCACCGCACAGGACGCTGAAGCCGCGCACGCTGCTGCTCTCCTCCTCGCCGTGAGCTCCCTCACTCGCCGCAAGCTCCCTCACTCGCCGCCGGCTTGCCGACAATCAAGGGCCCACCGTCATTCAAGGTAAGTCACTCGAGATACCTTTTTAATGTTAAATATCAAATCTGTATTAGTGATTAGTATATATATAAGTGATCAAACCAAATTCACATAAATTATGGATTTGGTTTGATCACTGATATATGATAATCACCAATACATGTTTTAAGGTTATGAGCGCAGCATATTTATTTATTCACCTTTTTAATGTTTCCTTCTTTTTTTTTTTAAAGCGGCACACTGCAGAACATTAGCAGCTATAGAGGAACAACAAATCCCAGCAATAATACATTAAACACCCGGTATAATGTACTATTGTTGGGATTTGTTGCTCCTCTATAGCTGGTGGTATTCTGCATTGTGCCGCTGTATAAAACATTGGTATTCTGCATTGTATTGTGCGTGGTATTCTGCATTGTATAATACAGCGGCACAATGCAGAATACCACCGACCAGAGATTTTATATATACACATACATACATACAAGATATATAGCTGGTCGGTGGTATTCTGCATTGTGCCGCTGTATTATACAATGCAGAATGCCATGCACAATACAATGCAGAATACCAATGTATTATACAGCGACACAATGCAGAATACCACCAGCTATAGAGGAGCAACAAATCCCAGCAATAGTACATTATACCGGGTGTTTAATGTATAATTGCTGGGATTTGTTGTTCCTCTGTAGCTGCTGGTATTCTGCATTGTGCCGCTGCATAATGTACTATTGCTCGCATTTGTTGTATTCCTCTATAACTGGTCAGTGGTATTCTGCATTGCGCCGTATAATCATTATACAGTGTAATGCAGAATGGCACCAGCTATAGAGGACTACAAATCCCAGCAATAATAAATTATATACAGCGCAATGCAGAATACCAGCAGCTACAGAGGACTACAAATCCCAGCAATCGTACATTATAGTATAATGTACGATTGCTGCGATTCACTGGATTCCTCCGTAGCTGGCGGTATTCTGCATTGCGACAATGTATAATGTACTATATTGCACACCACACTTACTTCCACCGCGCCAAGCTTGCTCCCGTGATGGACTACAATCTCAATACAAGCTAGTAGTCCATCACTGGAGACTTTTTTTTTTTATCCGATGAATCGAACGTAAAAATCAGCTAACTAATCGATTATGAAAATAATCGTTAGCTGCAGCCCTATATAGTTCTATTAAATAGAGCAGTGGTTCTCAACCTTTCTAGGGCCGGGACCCCTTGGTAACATTTGCCAAGTTGTGAGAGTAACTTAAGCATAAACTTTGGCCAGCTCTTACCTGCCTCAATCAATCCCAGAACAGTGCTCGACTCCTCGTGTCAGTCAGCCTCAGTCTTTCTTTCCGGATGTCTGACTCCCCTGGGCGTGTGTGAGGCACCCGTACGCACTGCCTCACGTTATCCAGTGAAGCCTGTGTGACACTTACATGTCACGCTACGCGGGCGGGGGAGGAGCTACACCTGTAGTATGCCGTGCGATGGTGCAGATCGCATAGGAAAATACATTATAGCCATGCCGAATGCGGCTGCTGCCATAACGTATTTTACTATGCGATCCGATCGGCAAGTTTCTGCGGGCTCAAGGGGCAGCTGCTTTGGGCCTCACAAGCATGACTGGGCCCCGGGCAACTGCCCCCTTTGCCCCGCGTTAAAGACGGCCCTGGCCATAGTTCTCTTTTAACCTGAACCAATTCACTAGGTCTTAATCTACTGTAGATAGATCAACAAAGAACATTTCTGATTGGATGTTATGGGTTACTGTAATCTTGACATCAGATTTGTTATTTTCTTGTGATAATAGTACTGACCTATTCTGCAGCAGCTTACAGAAAAAACAACCCTTTACATTAGTCTATGAGGCAAGGGAAGAAATCCACCATACCTACCATATTCGCTTAGATATTTGCATAAACAAGCAAGGGTAATCTGTAGTACAAGCTGATTACTCTAACATTGTAGCTCGGGTTATTGGATACAGCACCCAGGAGAAACCATCAGAAATACTGAAAGAACATACAAACGACATGGAGACAGCAAACGACATGGAGACAGCGACTTTGGTGAAAACTGAACCCAGGATCCCAGAATTGCAAAATCTACAGTGCTATCGACCAGGCTATGTTGCCTATCGTTCATAATAAGTCAAATTATCCAAGCCATATGTCAAACATACAGTAGACCTAGTCAGATACACATTAATAGCACTGTATTTTTAAGGTAACTTTGATGACACAACTTAAGTGATCATGAGTTGTCTGTGCAAGGGTTACTCAGGACAGAAGCTGGCTTGTACATGATCTTACAGGTTCTTGTACATAGTTCACATTTTTCCACTGTACTAATTATACGCTACAAGAGAGCTTACAGCCTTCCTCTTTGTATTGGCTTCTTACGAACAGATACTGAAGAAACATTTCTGTAAAAAATATGTAAAAATAAAATAAAATACTAAATGTAAATAAAGAAGATAAAGATAAAAGATACTTACTGGCTGCATAATTCTTGACGTTGGAGTAAATTCTGAATAAATTCATTCAGACCTGCTCTCCGTTGTTGAATAAACTCTGAGGTACAGAGAAAAATTAATTGTACAACTACAGCATTCAAGAACAGATCACATGAGGTGAAATTAGAACAGGTGCACTTTACATCACTAGCAGAACAGGGACTAAAACCTAGAGAAAACCTAAAGGAAAGGAGGTGTGTTTGTGTTGCTGACTGCAACTAGTGAGAACTCAGCAGTCAATGTTACAGGGCAAATTAGAAACTCTTAGGTTGTTGTTAGGCAACTATACGATCTACTTATCTTCCATGACCCAGCATCACCTATAGGTTTTACCCCAGGTATCACAGCCACGTCCAATTACAGAGATGCCCTCCTCCCGACAGCCTGCAGCCAATCAGAGTAGTGTCCTTTCCCTGACTGGCCACAGTCAATCAGAGTGGTACACTTCTCTAACGGTCAGGCTGCAGCCATTCAGAAAAATCATGGGATTTCTTGTGTTGGGTGTTTTGAAGCGCTTTTTCTACTGCTCAAAAATGCCTAGGTGTGAACAAGGCCTTATAGTGTAGCTGAAGCATGCTGACAGCAACACAGACACCTATCTGTAATGCAGTTTCTGCAAATCAATGACATTGATATTGTGTTTCTTCATACAGTCAGCCTGAATAAAAGGAGAAATATGGACTGCATCAATTACATTTTGTTAAGAAAAGAACAGTGCTTCTATGTCCTTTACATCTCATGTTCTGTTGTGGTATCGGAGTCCTTGAGAAGCGTATTATCCCTACTGAAAATTATATACTACTGTATACTCCATTTTATTGAAAATATATATAAAGATATTTTTCTTTGTTTTGGGTGGAGTAGGAAATGGTTAAAACTAGGGATGCACCAATTCTGTTTTTTTTGGAATCAAGAAGGGATATTTTTTTTCTGGTACTTGCCGATACCGAATACCGATACCGAAAGTACCTTAAACGGAAGCAGGGCGGCATGTAATGATTAGCTGCCCAGCTTTCCGATTAGCCGGGAAGCATGTAATGAGTTGCCGCCCAGCTTCCTGATTAGCTGGGAAGCCCTCTACATGCTCTCATCAACATGTGATGAGGAAGCATGGAGCCGGCTTTCTGGTCAATCAGGAACCCGGGGGGCGGGTAATGACTCACCGCCCGGCTTACTGAGTGGCCAGCTTCACGACCAATCAGGAAGACGGGTGGCGAGTCATTACACTACTTGCCCAAATACGGCATTGGTGCATCCCTAGTTAAAACCCGTCAAGTTTTATTATTGTTTGATTTCAAATCGATTCCCCTTCACTTCCTCTCCCCAAGACCCAACAGGAAGTGAAAGAAAATCCCCTCTTAGATACTGTAGCTGTCATTTTAACAGGTGTCCCCATTGGAAGATTTCCATCACCTCATATACTGGTGACAACTGTAAAATTCTCATAGCTTTTTACATTACATCAATACATCAAAATGTGCATGAGAGCTTGTGTTACAAGGAGTGTTCTTTTAAATAATGGGCAGATTTTTTAAACTGAAAACAATAATACATTTTGGCCTTGTTCACACCAAGCGCGTTCCAGGAGCAGAGTAGAGCAGAGCAGTTACAGACCGGAGCAAAACTGCGTCCAATGTATTCCAATGTTATTTTTAGCTCCAGTTCACATTGCAGCGTTCCGTTCCAGAGCAGGTAAAAAAACTGCAGCAGGCCCTATTTTACCTGCTCTGGAACGCATGCAAACACATAAAAAACGCATGCAAATGCCCTGGAACGCACTGAAAGGCCATTTTAAATTTATTTTTGTTATTAAAAATGGCCCGGAACGCATCAAAAACACGGCACAACCCACTGCACTGTGTGTGCAGAAACTCATGCAGATCTGCTCTGCATTTGGTGTGAACAAGGCCTTAAGCTCACCAAAGATCATTTGCTTTTACCTGGATCAAAATTGTCCCCAAAAATCCTCTTTGCAGGAATCTTCAGGTTGATAGCAGGAAATTGTTTTCTAAGCTAACAGAACAATAAAACAATTTCAGTACAGTCACACATTTACAAACACAGTTCCCTCCCCACAGTGGCATCCACAGAGATGAGATCAGCACCCGATTCAGTCATTTTCAGAATGATTGGGTGGCTGTCTTCTCAAGTCTATGGATATCTTAAGATGGGTATGGTAGCAGCACAGGTTAAAAGATTCAAGCATAAGGCAATGCTCATTTGACAAGTGTTATTCCCGTAATTCTAAAATCTACAAACAATTCTCCAAGGAGGAATAAATATCAGCTTACCGTGTTATATAGCTTATCAAATTCTGCATATCGCCTAAACACAAACCATTCATTCCGTCCTATGGACACTATTACTTTGTAAACCTGTCAAGATAAAACATTTATTTAGTCCAATTCACAAACAGGATCAGTTGCTATTTATCGATCTACAACAGGTGACATGTAATGCTACGGGACAGACACCATTCCTAGCTCTGTAACAAACCAGCTGGTATTCAAATGGTAGCAAAGCAGTGATGCCATTAGTGCTAAGTTGTGGGGCCATTTTTCTCTCAGCTATAGGTAAGTCCACTCGCATACTATCCATGCAGAGCGTTCCAGCAGGGAAAATAGGGCTTGCTGATGTTTTGTTACATGCTCTGGAACTGTACGCTGCGGTGTGAACTAGAGCCCAAAATACCATTGGAATACATTGGAGGCAGTTTTGATCAGATCTGTAACTGCTCTGCTCTGCTCCTGGAATGCGCTTGGTGTGAACTAGCCCTAAACACACACAGAAAGCTACTTGGCTGTATCCCAATGGAAACGCGCAACAAAAACGGCCCAAAGTAGTACATGTACCTTTTCAGACGTGGGCCGTTTTGTAGCGCGTTAGGGACGGGCTGAAATACGCCAAGGTGTGAACCAGAACCACTGAACACAATGGGATTTAGATGTTTGAGCGTTTTGTAGAGCGTTCGTCGAGCGTAGTACGCGCTACAAAACGTTCAGATGTGAACGAGGGCTAAGTCCCGAATTTCAAAATATTATGTGGATGTGTGCTGGCAGAGTGTCACCCATATATTGTTTTATTCTTCTCCAGGCTCCTTAGTATATGTTAATGCTTTGTTAGCATGTACAGCTTTGTAAGACCAATCTCGCTACATCTAGTTTTCCCAAGTGAAATACCTCAGGAAGTCTTAAAAACGATGCGGGCAATTATGACTTACTCCCCCCCATGCCCTTATCCATTCCATCTTGGTCTCCCATTAAGCGCTGCTGCATCCATCTACCCCACATAAGTATTAGTAGATTTTTCCATTAAAGACTATGGGGAATCTTGCGACACAAGAGACAGACATGTCACATTGCTAATAACAGCTATTCTAGGATGTAGTAAAACAAGTACTCAATGTGGGACATTGTGTGGGATAATGGATTGCCTACAACAGAAACACGTGTAAAACCAAAATGTTCACTGCTGTGCAGCCCATACAAAAGTCATTTAACAGGAAATAAAAAAACAAAACAAAAAGAAACCCAAATCAAATGGCTAAAAATCTGCCGGTGTATAGGTACCTTAAGGGCCTGTGTTTATGGGCAAATGCAGCTTGATCCTAGGTGCAGTTAGTCTGCATTTGAGATTAGTTTGCTATGCTTTTGAGATCATTAAAGGAGAACTATGAGGTGAGTGCTTTTCACTCACCTCATAGTTCTAGCCGACCTGTGACAATGAGACTGTCACAGGTCGGCTCAGTAGATCGGGAGGTGAGCGAACACATACCTGGTTCGCTCGCCTCTCGATCCTGTCACGGCTCTCTGCCGTGACAGGGGGAGGGGCTGGATTCCCCTCTCCGATCTGCCAGCGCTGACTGGCGGAACGGACGGGGGGGGGGGGCGGGGACAGCTAGATAGGCTAGATAGGCAGAGCCAGCTGTCAAGGAACGGACGGGGGAGGGGGGCGGGTACAGCTAGATAGGCTAGATAGGCAGAGCCAGCTGTCACTCACGCTGCTGGGCGGATCCCGTCATCTAAGTCGTGATCCGCTCCGGCGTCTCAGTATACCGCAAGCTGTAGCTCGCGGTATACTGAGCTTAGGGTAACGGGAGGACGCTAGTTTGTGTCCTCCCGTTACCCTAAGGAGAACTATGGGGAAAAACACTGACCCCATAGTTCTCCTTTAAGAGGTAATTGAAAAGGTACACGGTGCATCAATCTGCTTTAGCATTCCTACTGACATATGGGGAGAGAAGCAGTTGTGACAAGGACAAAATCCTGCCGACACAGGCCCTAAGTGTGATTTTCACCGGAGTCTGTTTTGATTCTCCTAAACTTAAATTGCGGTACGAAATACAACTTGAAGGCTAACTGCAGGCTAATTTATTTTACACTTATTTTGTCGCCCAGCCACAATAAAAAAATAAAAAAGCAGCTCAGGCCCCAGAAGGAGTGTCAACGCTGCACCCTGCATTCATTGTGCATTAATGCTTCATCATCAAGTCAGTACATCTCTGCATATCCTAGCAACGCCAACCAAGAAAACAGAACCCCAAATATCACTTGACTGGCCAGATACATCAAAGTAAATATATCAAACAAAGTAAATATATAAAAATGAAAGCAATAACCTACAAACTAGGGAGCCCTCAGGTGGGGTCACCTGTCAGAGGAAGCACAGAGACTAGAGATAAACTTTAAGGTGGTAAGAAAACATGTTATTTAAAACAAATATGTCCAAGTGGATGTACTTACAGTATATCTCTTCCTATTTTCTCGGTGCTCATCAGAGCTTGGAATGCATACATTGGGGCAGCTTATCTTGTGGTCCATTGCTTACAATGCCTTCATATGGATCTTTCGTGAGGCCTTCTAGTGGAAGGTTTATTCAATTTACATGCGAGATGTTAGCTACAAAAAGCCCATGTTAAAGGATCAGCTTGATCATTCCATTATGCAACCTGCACAGGAAGATAAGAAACACACAGGGTAACCATCATGCTGTGAAATGTCTTCTTTTTTTTTTAAATCAGTACACCAGCGAGACTCTAAGGCCCCATTCACACCCACATTTTATGTGCGGTTAAGGATTCTTGCGCCGGGATCTTGCAATTTCCTGCAGCAGGAATCCCTAATCTGCGGTTTAAAAGTGGCAGCTGTCACCCATTCAAGTTAATGATCGGGTGACAGTCGCTGCATTTGAACGCCGCGAGAGTGCGTGTATTCATATGTAATACGATTACATGCGGTTAGGAATCAATCACTCTCCCTGGACGAGTGCTCGAGCATTGGATAACTGCTCTGATCAAATCCTCTTGGATGCTGCAGGAAAGCAACTGAAAGATAACATTACATCAGCAAAGAAATCTTTCTGTAAGCCAATATATCTATTTATGTTTGTCTACTAAATATGCACTATGCATACACAATCAACATGCTTTGACTCCCACAAATTAAATATTTGAGATGTCTGAAAGGGGATGTAAGCGGCAGTACTGCGTAATGCACAGCTGTTTTAGAATACAGTATAGAAAAAAACAACACCCAGACATATTGCATGCAAGTTAAGAATTACTATTATATACATATACACACACACACTTTTTTTTTTTTTTTTCTTGGAAAATAGCTTTCTAGCTAAGAAGTTTATTTTAAGCAATAATACAATACAACCATCCTTTATCTATTTTGTGTGTGTGTGTGTTTATATGAAAGGCAAATTATATATGAAATTAGATCCCCAGGAAGGATGCAGATTTTTTTTATATCCTGTTAAGGACAGAGCGTTTGTGGTCCCTTGTTCGCTACCAACATGCAAAAATGAGCTGCTGCTTTGTAGGATGTAATTTAAAGGAAAGCAGGGGTGGTGAAGGTCCATTCATATATACAAATGCTATGAAATGATGTGCCATCTCGGTTCATTTAAAATCTCATAGACAAGATACTGCTAGAATGGGGGTTGTGCAGCAAATATTTCAAGATGAATCTCTAGAGATAGGATATGGTGAAAAAAGTCAATCATTTCATGGGTGCACTAGCCATTCCAAAACTCATGTATGTATTTGGTAAAGATTTAGACATCAAACAGATTATTGCCAGAAGTGGATAAACAGTGAGGGAAATCTAATAAGACTGGAGCAGGCAGAATCTGGAGCAGCTGTGCTCGGCAAGCAAACAGCTTCTAGCTTTCAATTTCAAGTTTAACTGAACAAGCTGAAGATTGATTGGTTACAGCTCCAGATTCTGTCTGCTCCATTTTTAATAAAATTTCCCTTGTATGCCGATAAGCTAAATGGCAGAATTTACCGAGTAGGCGCTGATGGTACATCCATGTTTTTGGACCGTGTGTCTAGGCCCCACCTAATTATCAGAATGCTAGGGCCAACGCTGAGATTGCGTAAGGGCCCATTCACACTATGCTTAATGCGCCATATGTGCGTTACGGTGATGCAGTGCTATTCGTGTACAAAATCAGCAACACTTTTTTATTCTATGGGTTCCATGTCTTCAGAAAATGTGTGGTTTGGGGGTATATTACAAATGTTCAAAGCAATAAGTAAAAAAATGTGAAACGTGATGAAAAAAGTAAAAAAAAAAATTGCAAAAATAGTCCGGCCACCCGAGGTAACAATAGCGAACAGGGCCTGGCACAGCCTGCGATTGAGTAGTTACATGCGACGGCGCTGGTGCTAACCCTGGATTTGTACAGTGTACAAATCTGTCTGTAGCCTTAGCTGTTCATACACAAATAGGGAGAATTCTGCACCATTATAAACTGGCATGAGTGGCGCGTGCCACCATACCAAAGCAGATGGACATTAGTGTTGCACATTGTGATGCTTGGGGATATTAGCACATATGGTGAGCCCTTTAAGGACGCAGCCCACTCACAATATCTTCTTTTTAAGGGCCTTGCAGCCTACTTTTATTTAAAGGAAAGTTCACACATCCACCTTGGATACCCTCGCAGGGGTTGTTCAGTACAGCATCCATACATTCCTTGCAAAACAACATGTCACGCCTGTTATGGATGTGGGGGTTGTGGATCGCAACTGCGGAGGCTTCTCAGTCAGGAAACCCTGGTTTCACTCTCAAACTTAACGGAGAGTTAGGGTTTCTAGCATCACAGCCTCAAAATAAAGAATAGTTGTTTTCAGGGAGGGTTATTCCTGCATAAGCCCTACCCTTGAGCACCAGTGTCAATTTGGGAACTACTGAGGCAATGGTTGATCATAGAGAGCTTAAAGGCAGTACAGGCAGTGGTTCAGTTTCCCAGCGAGTAGTAAGACTTTACAGATGGAAGTTAGATAGCATACAGTCTTTATGAAGAGTGTGCAACTGCACTAAATACTTGCTGTTTGAGGGGTTGAAGTGGATGGGAGGAGCTGGGGGTCCTTTTGGAGTCCGGTCCCAGAGTGGGTGACTGACAGGCACAAGCTGGAGGCAATGGAGGGTCCCAGGAGACAGCAGGCATTCTGGCTCAATAGTGGAACGCCATGCTGTCTCGTCTGGGCGCTTATATAGTGCTGGAGGAGTGGGGAGGAGCCGCCGAACGGATCGGCGCACTTCCGCGTTCCAAGGTGGAACACACCCGGCCGCAGAACCTGGAAGTGACGAGCGTGCGCTCCACCGTGAAACGCAACTTCGGATCCGAGAAGCGGCTGGCTGCGGGCTCCCGGCGGCTACGCTCTACGGCGGTGGCCGTTACACAACACAAGCATAGCCTCCTGGCTTCCACTCTTAACATGAAGAATTCTGACCCAATGGTCCTCTCTGTAGTGCTGTTCCACACTTGTACTGGCGGCCCCTCAGGGTCTTGGCACTCCCAGCCTAACCAGTTCTCTCCCAGCCTACCTGACAGTCTTTGTGTGCTGCCAGCACACAAACCACCTGATTCCACTTTAGATTCTGGGAGAGTCCTTCTAACTCGTAAACACTGTCTGTTTCTATTCCCCAGCAGGAGCTCACCTAACTCCACTCTGAATTCTGGGGGAGTCCTCCCAACTCCTGAAAAACGTCTGTTTTTATTTCCCAGCAGGAGCTCACCTGACTCCACTATGACTTCTGGGGGAGACCTTCTAACTTCTGAACACCGTATGTTCCTATTTACCATCAGGAGCTAAATTCCCTAGTCAGCATCCTGTGCAATCATTAGGTGCTAGTCACTACTAAACCCTGGACCCAGGACTAGAGCTTTCGTCCCTCCTGAATCACTTTGAAACCTCCCGGTTCCAGGATCCCAAGCAGAATCCAGAAAATCCATAAAGAACTGAAAAGCCAGCCCTTTTCCTGAAAAAACCCTTGCTTCCCTCTGGCTGATCATAACACCAAATTCCACAGTGGGATTGCCATGCAATACCACAACATGTAGTAAAATATTAATTTCCTACTCAATGGAGAAAAAGGACCAATTAGTCACAAAGGTTTTCCAAAACTGTGTGCATTATTGGTCCATTGTCATGAATAACGTCAGCATTTGTCACATTTATTGGGCCCTTAGATTGTACTGGAAGATGATAAAAATATAAAAACAAGATGAGCATCAAGAAAAATACAGAGTCCTTGTTTTGGTGATAGAAAGTAATAAACAGCCAAGTATCCAATATACTCAGAAATACAGAAATGTTACCTAACTTTTAGAACTTCTATTACTGTCAAGTACTCACCAGCCCCAGCTAAACAGTACATTCCCATACACAACCAGGGCTAAACAGTACATTCCCATACACAACCAGGGCTAAACAGTACATTCCCATACACAACCAGGGCTAAACAGTACATTCCCATACACAACCAGGACTAAACAGTACATTCCCATACACAACCAGGGTATTGGTTTTGTATGTATGTTGTGCTTGGGTGTGCTCTAGCACGCAAACCCCATAGCACCTCCATCTACAACCCCTGCTGCTGTCGCAAATAACAAAAAACCTGTTAGGAGCACTATGCATTCCAGCAAACTGCCTGCAAGTCTCTCTGACAGAGTGATCTCCCACCCAACAGATAAATGAGAGTTCTGGGGAGAGGGAGCTTTGTGGTGTGGTGCTGCTGGGGGTTATTATTACTAGAGACTGTGGGGGTTAATATTGTGCTGGGGATTATTGCTTACCTTGACACTTGCTATCACTGATGGCCCTGACACATGCTGGGGGTTATTATTGCTTACCCTGGCACTTACTGACACTGTAATTCACAAAAGGGTGAAGAGTTTGGAGAAGGCAGGATAAGTGAACAATCTAGGACAACATAGCTGAACTGGACAGTGAACTCAATTGGATAATTTTTCCAAATCAGCTATATTGGCCTACATTGTTGACTTCTCCTGCCTTCTCCAAACTCTTCACCTTTTTGTTAATAACCCTGTACGTGTCATTACTTTTTCCTGGCCATAACACATGGTTGGGGTTTCTGGATTTCATGGTTTCTGGATAAGACAACAATAATGGGGCTTATTATACTCTCACAATCTCTTCAGTGTTCCCCCAGACCCTGTTTTATGTAGACCATAGCAAAGCAAACAGGGAAAGGTACCATACTACAAGCCACACATTGTGAAGCAAGACCCACTTTAGTGACAACACCCAAAAGTGCGCATTTCTATTCTCAATCTCTTCAAGGCAGGTGGCAGACGGCCCACACAGCACACCACATTTTCATCTCAATCCCTTTAAGGTGTTGGCAACTAGGTTACATACTTCTGACCAATGCACTCGGTGCGCTTCAATGTGCTTAAAAGGGGCTACAGCCTGTGTTATTATTACACTGTGAATGGTTTCTACTAGGGATGTCCCGATACCGATGCTAGCATCGGAATCGTGCCCGATACAAGGCATTTTGACAAGTACTTGTACTTGTCAAAATGCCCCGATGCCTAGCCTCAAAGCTTGCGCTGTTTTTTTTTTCTTACCTCGCCGAGCGTCGCGTCACTGCTGCTCCGGTGGGCGGAGCTCCAAGCGGGGTC